CAAATCTACGTTTCTGATCTAGTAAGTATAATTTATTTAAATATAACAATAGATAAAATTTAACCTACAATAGATATCTGAATTTTTCTATCTTTTTATAAAAAAAAATTTAAAAATTATTTCAAACTGATTATTCGATAAATATTCAAAAACTAGGTACCAAAATTTTATATGATATTTTATTATAAATCACGGGAAATCTAGATTTTAGTACTACTAGTAATTTTTATAATTAACTTATCCCCAATTTTCATTCTCATTTATTCGCGAATTGTCAATTAAATAAAATATATTACTGTAGGATACCGTAAAACTTTTGATACATGTTCAAAAATAATTATCTATATGGTCTCTATTTTGTTTATTAATATTAACTTATATATAATACATAATTTTGGAGATCTTCTTGTATAACCAACTTCAACCAATCAGATCTCAACAAAACAATAAAAATAAAATAAAAATGTGATTTGAGTGCATCTTTCATAATTAACATGTCAAAACATGAAACCCAAAATTGCCAACATTGCGAAAACAACGATAGACCGTCGTAAAAAACGAAATCCGAATATTACGGTAAATATATTTTAAGCAGTAGTAAAACTCTCTATAAAGAGGATTCAGTGAGATTGTTGCATATACATTATTAGAAAAAATATGTTACTAAATAAATTTACTACTTGTTGTATCAAAAAAAAAAATAACGAGTCACCAGAAACCAGTAATAGTCGATTCTCAAAGAATAAGGTTTGTATGGTTTAGTTAAACAAGAATTTGCTAAACTTATGAATAATTTTTACTTGATATTTTATTTTTAGAAGTCACCAACAACCAGAAGCAAAGGAAAAGTTTGTATTAAAATTGCAAGATGCTGTATATTTTTACCACGAAGTAATTTTTTTTCCCTACTTATTAATACTGCAGACTCAAATTAATGTTGATCCTCCTGCCGAAAATAATCTTTCCAATGATGAGACCATTGAAAACGATAAAGCCGACAATGAAATTGAGGAAAATGAAAATGAAAAGGTTGAAATCGACATTGATATCATACTAAAGCAATTGGAACAACGCCCAACCGTTGAGGTACTATAGTTATATTTAATATCTAATTTCAATTCACATCTTTTTTCCGCATTCTTAATTTTAGTTTCTTTAGTGAATAGTCGAGAATATCAATATTTCAAGAAGATTTCGCCAATTTCAACAGATAGCAGTCGATAAGCTAAGGAAGAATGGTTTAACATGGAATAACACCATTGAAATCCTGCAAGTATTATGAAATTGAATATCTAAAGAATTGCATTTCACAAATTTACTCTATATAATTGCATTTTAGTGCATTATCATCGATTATAGTCCTCAGTTCTCCTTGTTCCTATTCAAACTTTACGAGCACAGAATGGCATAAAATAATCAATGCTAACCCATACCAATTTCCAGTACATGTCATTCCTTCAACAATATCAAATGCGCTCACAGAATCTGCCAAAAAATATGTTCTTGGCCAAGATAGTTTCATGAGTCCTGAAAGATCCATACTTAGCAGGGCAGCTACCAGAACATTCAATGACCTGTAAGTTAAGTTACCATATATTTTTTAAATTTATGGAAATCATGAAAACAAGATTTATTTAAATTTTTTGTTGCTTTTAGGCAAGACTTACCTCTAATCTCCGAAAAAAAATTATCTGAAGATATGCACAACTGCAGAATCTTACATCCTTTCATAAAGCCATTGTTTTTTAGACCTCATAAGGAATACGAAATACGGATAAATCGTACTGTAAACGGAACTAGACCAGATGTGTCATGCGTAGTCAACGGTACTCCAATTTTGAATTCAGAGATCAAACCGCTTGGATATACTTCCCTCCAAAGAACAAAAGATTTCATAAAAGTTCATCTAAGAGCAAAGGGGTCAGTGAACGAACAATTGAATACAAAAGGCGGTCCGGGTGAAGCAGCTATTCTGCTAAATACAGGTATGTATAAATCATTGTCACTTTGAAATATATGAGTATCGATTAATCTGCATATATCTAATATATGTTTTATAGGCGACATTATGCAAACCTTTTTCATGGATTTAAGGTTTAGTGGTATGTATAGATCCTGGCCTTACCATACTACAAGATTACCTATCGATAGACCATCGATGCCTTTACTTGAAACTACATTTTGCCATTTCGTGGCATTAGAGGTATGCATTTTCTCACTTTTTTGATATCGTATTTTATTATATATAACTTATGAAAAACTTTTTGTATTTTTAGAGTAAAGTGAATGAACTGGCAGAAAATTACAAATCCCGCCATGAATCGTTTACACCACCATTACAGATTCTATCATTTATGAATGACATTCCAAACTCGCCACAGATTAAACGATTGCTTGGTTGTTTTTAACTCATATCACGAGTTTTGCTACAGTTACTATTATAGTATTAGCACAATATTTTTTTAACTTTGAATTTGAGCAACGTTTTACTGTATACATATTATATAGTATTCCTCAAATAATATAAAGTATTCTTTCTCTTTTCATCAATCAAATCATTTGTTCCGTAAACAATGATCAATTCAGTTCTTTAATATGATTCGATATTATATTTATGACTATTTATTTAGTATTTGATGTAGTTTGGTACTACAAGTGTGATCTTTGATTACCCTTTGAAGGCAGAATTCTCTTAAAAATGTAAACTAGGAATCTTTTATAGTGAATGCATAAGTGAAAAAGGTATTTAAGTATTATTTAAAACTTGATGAAATTATCAACTATCTTAAACATGGAACCTGCTGTTACGAAGACATTAGAACCAAAAAAAAAAAACAAAGGAATGAGATCGGTTAGTATCATATAACCTTAGAATTTAATATAGTAAGATATAAAATAAAAAAGAACCCATTTATTTGAAATCGCCAAAGTCAGAAATTCTCTTAAACATGAGATATGCCATTATGAAAGCATTATATAAAAAAAAAAAACATTTAAATTTTATTTAAAGATAGTCATTTGGATAGACAAGGTTTGGAACTATTATATATTTCTATATTACTGTATAAATCAGGTTGAATATAGTCGATTACATTATATATATACCCGGAACTCCCAATTGATGGAATTTGGAATAACAAGAGATGTACCCGTAAAAATGCACTTGTTTCTTTTACATATTCCCCATGTCTCACAACCTGTATCAACAACTCCCAAATTGGTTCTTATTGGGTAATCGCTTTTTATAAGCTCCCAATTAGGTGTGCCGAAGGCAAGTCTCTATATATCAAGATTTACCAATCGTAAAGAGTTTAATTTAGAATCAAGTTAAAGCATACTTTACATCAAAACTGATTATAAATACTGTAATATAATATAGTTTCACAATATGCTAATGGAGAAATATTGCTTGGTCTTTTGTTCTATAAATTATTAATCAATACTTTTAATATCCAGATAATTGATCTAAATTCATCAAAGATTGCAAATTTTGGAACAGTTAATATGTTAATTACTCAAGCTCAATTTTTCACTAAATTCCAGCATTTATTGACCTGTTATCCACATATACGAGCATAATAAGAAGTCTGGTACTACGTTTCAATATCATTCTCTGGGAAATTCATTATGTATTTTGGTTTGGGAATTGGGATTTTGGGCTATAATCCAAGCTATATTTTTCGATCAATGGTATCAAACTCAGAATGAAGAATGCTAAAACACCCAGAAAATGTGTACCAGGTTGGGACCGGATGATCGTCCGGATGATAGTCCGGATTATGGTCCGGAAATTGTCTTTGATTATTTTTAGTTTTCGATTACCGTATTTCGCCTTGTAGAGTACCCCCTGGTTGACTGTACCCCCCTTGATTTATACCGGGTATATTACCAGGTCTATAACCTGTATTTTTAGTACAAGATCCGGTACGATAAGTTTTTATGTACGTGACATATAAAACATATTGTTTTCATAATATGATCCTTACACACCCCATATCGTATACCCTCTGCTATACAGCATACCCGGGGGGTATAAATCAAGAAAAACCGGTTTAGATAGTAAGAGACTCCGGGTACTTTCTATGGCGAAATACGGGATGCGTATCACTTCACAGAAAACCATTTTACAGACATCTTATTTCATAGACAATCAATTTATAGACAAGTTTATTTTAAAGACAATTAATTCACAGATAGTTCACTTTACAGACA